TCACAATGGAGGTTCCTTCATGAGCAACTTGCAATATGTCCAACACCTCCTTAGCCACCTTGAATGTAGAAATCAATTGAAATCAATTAGATTCTACAAATGAGAAAATAACATTTTAGAATTCCAACTAGCACTATTAGAATCAGTAGTCACCTGCTCATCTATTCTTTTTCTACATATTTTTCTATCACGGTGAGAATTTTATAGTCATATACGATTGAATGTTGTGCTTTCTCATCTAAGGATTGGACATAAACCTGCATCCTAATTTTCTAATAGGAGTAATTAGTCATGTCTAGAATAGGAGGTCTAAAAGGTTCACCGTCCATTACTAAGTTTTTCTTGGATCAAACTTCTTAAGAGTGAACCCTCTATGATACCAATTGTAAATACTTAAACCTAGTTAATTAAAAAATTTGTTTTAATTATCCAGTTCAGCATGCCTGGCATAGAATATCCTATAAACAGTTATTAAAGTAGTTCTGACTGTAACACGAAGAAAGATTCTAGTGTTCAAAGTGATTTACCCTGAAATTAACAAGTATAAACATCAGATATAACGTAGTAAACCCTTAAGGAAAACATTCACGGGCTCCATGCCAATCAATTCACTAAATCAAAAGATAAAAATGCAACCGTCTCAATTTTGTAATTTCGCAAAATTAACAAATAATAATCAGAGCTCTTAATCATCTTCATGATTTCTTCCTTTACTGATGTAAAGCAATAAACAAGATTCCAATTAAAATTTACCTAAAAATCAAACAATGAAACATGTTAAGTATATAATCATATCACATATGATTTATTTGATGTGGTAATAAATAGACTTAAGGAAATTCTAATATTCAATGAATCTTTCCTTAAAGCAATAACCAAGATTAGATTAAATCCTACCTAAAATTATATACAATAAAACCAGTAAGAATATAATCATATCATACAAGATTTATTTGATATGGTAATAAATAAACTTAGGGAAAGTTTAGTAATAAATCAATATTTCCTTAACTTTAATTATTTAACATATCAAAAAGTATCTAGGATAGTAGGTAAATATTAGCTGCAACACGGAAAGTGAAAATTGCGTCTCGTTTTGGGTGTTAAAACCTTAAATCCTCAGCCACAGACCAGTCAGATAGTACTAGCTGACTATTTGGACAGCATCCCTTTTTCCACCTTTTTAGCCCTTGTCATTGACATTTAAAAATCAATCTATATTAAGTAAGCCAACTAAAATAATGTGTCAAAATATAACAAAAATATTTATTTCCAACATAACCTTTTCTCAAAATGATCAATCTATTCAAGTCAATTGATGGTTGCGAGAGGTAGTGGGATGGAGTGAGAAGAATAGTGACTGAAATGAGTTAATTATATGATTTGCGACATATTTATCATGTGATTTGTGACTTAATATGTGATTGTGGCCTATAGTTTGTGTAATATGTAATTGTGATTTTGTGTGCTTTGTAACTTGGTATGTGACTATGACTCATAAATTGTCTGTTGCCTCGTGAACAGGGGAAAGACTAAAGGTAAGGAAACGGTAGCTTTAGCATCTTTTGAGTTAAAAAGGTCTTTACAGAGCTAAGGGAAAGGTTTAAAACCTAGTAGCAAAATGGAATTGAAATAACAAAAGATCAGCCGGAAACAGAAAAGAATACATGTCCTGTCTTTGTTGGCTGGCCAATCAACAAAGATCGGAAGAATGACAACTTTTTTAGCCTACGAGGAAAGCGTCGTCAGCTGCGGGCTCTGGTAAAGAAGAAAAGTAAGGAAGTAACGCTTGTTTTCAAAAAGTAATGTAATCAAAAAGCATTCTATGAAGGAAAGCCTCCAGGTTATCACAAAAAGAACTTTAAAAAAATAGAAAAAGAAGAAACAGGTCTTATCGGTTCAGTCATTGCCTACTCCTTCTAATCCTATCGGTCCTTGTCATTGATATTTAAAAATCAATCTATATTAAGTAAACCAACTAAAATATTCCCCAAATATCATTGTTGCTTCTTCTCCAGGAAAAGAAGTTCACGACCTGTGGGCCTTTTACCTTCACGCGGCATTGCTCCATCAATCGTATGGAATCTCCGGGAAAAAAAGTAATCAATCGTATGACCTGAAAAGAGTAATAATTTTTTCAATTATGGTCTTGGTTGTTTTGTTTCGCAAAGTTTCATTCCATATATCGGGAAAATTAGTCAAGCCCAATTCTAGCAAGGAAAGATTCTTTATCCACTTGAACAATATGAGTCAGTCCTGACTGACTAAATGGAATGGGGTTTTCAATATAATTATGTGGCTGTGGATTTTAGGGTTTTAACACCAAAAACGGGATGCAATTTTTAGTTTTCATATTGCAACTAATGCAGATTTATTTATCTTCCATCCTAAATATTATTTTATAGGTTAAATAATTAAACTTAAGGAAATATCGGTTTATTATTACACTTTCCTTAAGTTTATTTACTGCTATATCAAATAAATCTTGTATGATGTGATTATATTCTCACCGATTTTATTGTCTATAATTTTAGGTAAGATTTAATATTATCTTGGCTTCTGCTCTAAGGAAAGATTAATTTAATATTAAACTTCTCTTAAATCTATTTATTACCATATTATATAAATCATATGTGATATGATAATATACTTTACAGCATACGTGTTTTAATGTTTTAATTTTAGGTAAGTTCAATTCGTGCCTTGTAAATTACTATACATAAGTAGAGCAAGAAATCAAGGAACGAATAACAACTTCGAGAACATTTACAAGCATTCGGTGGACCAGCACCTTTTCTACCATTCTCCAACAAGTTCAACCAGCGATATGCTTTATTGATTAATCTCATAGCAAAACTGCTTTTGAGAAATCTGTATATGTAGCCGATGAACCTCCAGTGACGAGTTCTGCCATAGTTTAGCAAGTTCATTTGGAGACATGCATTATTGAATAATCTAATAGAAAACCGTGTTCTTCAACTATACTTGAAGAAAACACACAGTGTTAATGGCGTAACTTAAGAATTGTGATTCTTAATCTAAGTGGTTACTACCGAGTACAATAGTGAAGTGGCGATAAAGTCAAGACCGGAGGGTTTGATTTCACTTCTTCACCAAGTCAAAAGAAAGAGAAAACTAGGGAGTTGTTATTAGTTTTGTTTTTATTTATTTATTTATTTTTTTTGTTAATGTTGCAAAATTACAAAATCGCGACTATTGTATTTTGATCTATTGATTTAGTATATTGATTTACCTGTGGCATGAGGGCCCGTGGACATTTCCCGTAAGGGTTTACCATGTTATTTCTAGTGTTGATATTTGTTAATTTCTGTAATTAAGTAAATAACATAGAATGCTATAATCTGTTTACACATTGCAGTCAATTCTGCTCTAATAACTGCTTATAGGATATTCTGACTACCTAGCGTATACTGTGTGAATTTGGTAATTAAGACAGAATTTTTAATTAACTATGTTTAAGTATTCACAATTGTTATCAAAGCGGGTTTACTTTTAAAAAGTCAGACTAAGGAAAAACCAAGATATGGGCGGAGCACCATTTAGACCTCCAATCCTAGACGAGACTAATTACTCATATTGGAAAATTAGGATTCAGGTTTATGTTCAATCCCTTGATGAAAAGCTTGGCACTCTATTGTCTATGGATATAAAGTACCCACTATGACTGAAAATGAAATAGAAAGAGAGAAAAAGGCGGAAGAGTGGATTACTACATATTTGAGCAATGCTAGTTAAAATTCAAAAGCTTTAAGTGCAATTTTTTCTTTTGTGGATTCTAACCAATTTCGTTTAATCTCTACATGCAAAGTGGCCAAGGAAGCTTAGGATATACTACAAGTTGCTCATGAAGGAACTTCCATTGTGAAGTCATCTAAGCTTCAAATGCTCACCCTTGAGTTTGAACACTTGACAATTATGAAAGTAAAATAGTGAAAAAAATTCTTAGATCATTGACTGACGGATTCCATTCCAAGCTAACAGCTGTCGATGAGAGTAAAGACATAGAGAGCATGAAGGTAGAATTATTGGTAGGGTTTTAATGACCTATGAGTTGCATCTCCCTAGGTGAAACAAGGAAAAAGGATCGGGAATTGCATTTAAATTCAAGCGGGTTGAGGTAGAAGAGGAGAAAAATAAAAGTGACAGTGATGAGCATATGGCTGCTCACTAAAAAATTTAAGAAATTCATAAAGAGCAATCAGGAGAGAGGAAGCTCTAAACCTCAACAATCAGAAAGGAAGAGTTTTTCTAACTTAAGGCAAAACCCTACCTCATCTGTGGAAAGAACTCATAATTGTATTAAATGCCGTGAATACGTAGGATTTGGTTACATAGCTGTTGAATGTACCAACACATTAAAGAACTTTTGGGGTAAGAAGGGACGGACGCAGCGTTGGAGTTCAGTCCGGGCGGACGTTGACCGGTCAACGTCGACGACGGGAACAGAATACTAAGTCCTTCACTGTCAAAATGCGATCACTTTCACAAATTCATTCACATTAACCCTCTAGAATACTAATTTCTGTTCTGTTTTTCCTTTTTTTGTTTTAACTTTATGTTTGCTCCGTCTTTAAAAAACAGTGTACACATGGTTTCATTGAGCCCAACATCTTCCCCATTATTTTTTTTCACTTATCCCTAATTTCCTAAAAATCTGAATTCTCACAAAGTCAAACGTTATTATTATTATTTTTTTACTTGTCTGAAGCAATGTCCTCAAATCTGTCCCCCACAAACACCGCTCCTATAATAACTGCTCAAAAGTTTCACCTTCACACCATACTTAACCAATACTTTTAAAGGCATATAATCCATACTTAATTACATTCCAATTAGACAGATTTTTTCATGACATGACACTAATCACAAAAACATGACAAAATCTAACCCTTACTCCCACGTGGCTCTATTTTGGCACACTACTCAAGCGAGCAGATCTACTAGTTTCTTCTTGCTCTTTACTCTGCAATGGGAAAAATATGGGATTCCTTCTTGCAATTTTCTTCTCATTCTTTACTTCTTCGATTCTTAATAGAACTCTTCCAGTTAGCTCAAAAACGGCAGTTCTTGATGTCTTTGCTGCATTACAAAAAACCCAAGAGCTATTTTTGCTGAACTCCCAAAGTGTACTACCATCGAAGCGGAGTGTACACGACCAGGAACCCTTTGTGTCTTCTGGTTCTTCACTCAGTTATCAGATCCATTCTCGCTTGGCAATCCATGAAACTTCATACAATAATTACAAGGAACTAACCTTGGATCGACTCAATCGGGGCTCTATCCGTGTCAAGGCGCTTCAGACTTGGGTAGATCTGGTGTAGTTTCTACTATTATTCTGTCGGTTGGGCCTTATTTAAAAAAATCATTATCTTCTTCATTCCTTTCCTCTTCTTCCCGGCGGATGGCAATTCGACACTTACCTTAAGAAGCCCCGGCGGAATCAGTACGGGTGGCCGTGGGGGCTGGCCAGGTGCTGGGTCCGTCCCTGGGGGTAAGAAGGCAATGGACATAACATGGAGTGAAGATAAGGACAAAGAGTCAAACTTAGATAAGGAGGAAAAACAATAACCAGGTAACCTCATTCACTTTTAAGCTTGAGTCTGATGTTGACATGTTACAACTATTGCCTACAAGTACAAACTCACTAACGAGAGACATAATAGGATCAAGCCACATATGTTCAAAATGTATGATACTGAAAAGGAATTTTAAAACTAAACAAAAGAAAAACGTCACACTTCTAGCAATGATGAAATATATTGAAGAAGAAAGGGGTGTTGTTGCAACTAACAAAGAAGTTTTATTCAAAGTTCTAAAAGAAAAGAAAAAAAAAAATCAAATCTTGTAGCTCCTGACTGAACTGGACCACACCAATGAAAGAGTTTGATAGTTGACCATTAGATCCGTCCACCTAAATGAAGTTCTCAACTATGGAAGAACCTCTAACATCAAACAAGGCCTATGTTATGAAGGGAAATGACAAGAGAAAGAATCTACCTAGTTGAAGTTTGTCAAAGCTGTTGGATATGATAAATCGCTAGGTCAGACTCCAAAAACTACAGTCAAAGTACCAGCTCGAACCTCTGACAATAGGATGGTATCAATGGTTGACTCTCCACCTAAGGTCTGACTACCTCTGAAAACTTGATTCAGATCATGCCATCAGGTAATCAGGTAACGCTTTACTCTCATGATCAGATAGGAAAGTCACAACACACTCTCAGATGTACTTTTGTGGTCTACATGGAATGATTCGCTTCACTATTTATCACACAAAAACCAACATCACACAAAAAGAGTTAAATTGCTCGCTAGCACTTTAAAGCAAAACTTAATGCTAGAATAAAGCAAGTTTTGGGTAAGAAAAAATGATATTAGTTGCTATGTTGTTAATATAGCTTATAAATCTATTGTGCCCAAATCTTGGTATTTTGACAATTGTTGCTCTAGACACATGACTGGTAATCATTACATGTTAACAAACAATAAATGTCATGTAGGTGGTCTAGTTACTTTTGGAGATGGGGCTAAAAGTAAAATTGAAGGTGTTAGTACCATTATGATTGATGGAGTCCCTATATTAAAGGATGCTTTATTTGTTGTTGACTTGAAAGCAAACCCAATTAGTATAGGCAAACTCTGTAATTATAACTTTAAGGTCATATCCACAAAAAAATCTTGAAAAGTGCTAAAAAGTGATAGTAGTCGTGTCTTACATGATGCTAGGTCTAGTGATAAATGATATCTTCTTGAATCTGATTTTTTACTTGTTATGTTTCAAAAGTTTACTCTATATATTTGTGGCACAAATGGTTGGGACACATGAATTATGCAGATCTGGTCAGACTTACCAAGCTAAATGCAGCAAGAGGAGTTGTGAAGCTCACAGAAAAATCAAAAGATTTGTGGTTCATGCCAGATAGGTAAACAAACTAGAGTTGCGCATAAACAAGATTAGTTTCTTGCTACCTCTCACAGCCTTGAGTTCCTAAATATGGACTTGATGGGGCCAATTCAGATTGAAAGCCTCAGTGGTAATAGGTATATTTATGTGGTTGTTGATGATTTCTCTAAGTACACTTGAGTAGACTTTTTAAGAAAAAAACCTGATGTTTTTAAAAGATTTACATTTTTATATCAAAAATTTACTAGAGAAAAACACTTTGAGGGGACTAGATTTATAAGAATTAGAAGTGATTATGGTAAAGAATTTAAAAATGCTAGCTCTTCAAGATTCAATGAGGAGAATGGTATTTCTCACGAGTTTTTTGCTCCTAAAATCCATCAGCAAAATGGTGTAGTGGAAAGGAAAAATAGTGACGAGTGTGTTTAACTCATGGATTTTATATTATTTTAACTTGATTGGTGGCTAAATCTTATGAGTATTGAACATTTTTTTTTTGTTAGTGTTGTTTTTTAGTCTTGGTGAGGTGGTGTTAATTAACGTAAAAGTTGGAGAACAAATGGCTTGGAATAAATCGAAGAGAAAAGAACAAGAAAAATGGCAAAAGAGTCCATTTCCTGCATCAAAAGAAGAAAGAGAAACTTGACTAGAGAGGTGGCGACAGCACCACCAGAAGCTATGAGAAGTCAGAATATGTGGCATCCTGGAGTCGTACCTTGGGTGCCCAACGCCACACTTGATCTTTCAACCGCGGTGCCACCTATGATCTCTTCGCGGCGCTGCAATGCCACTACGTGGTTTTACATAATGCCGTCATAAAAGTGTTTTCTTAGCCCGTTTAAAGCCCATAAAGACTCTAGATCCGAGGAAAAAATGAAGGGAAGTATAAATACAAGAGGAGATGCACTTGAGAAGGGTTCCACACATTGAGAAACAAGCGATACAAATTAAGAATTAGGAGATCAAATCACAGGAGAAAAAATTAACAAGAAATCAAGGATTTGAAAATATATTGGGACAAGAAAATCATCTTAGTGCAAGATTCAACCGCTTATCTACATCTTTATTCAAAATCCGGTGATGTACTGAATGAATATTTATTCTTTTTTGTTGTAGATTATGAATAGCCAAATCCTTTATTGGGACGAATAATATAATCTATTTGAGACCCTTTATTTCTTTTATTTAAGAATCTAGTTCTTTAAAAAGCACATGTGTTGATTTTATAAATGAGTTTAATACTTTGAATGCAATGATTTTGTGAATCTATTAAAAATTGAGAGGCGAGTTTTAGATTTAGATTATATAGTAAAATCCGAAAATTTATTATAAAACATAGAGATACTTAACGCTAGTTATTGCGGTCGTTACATGAGTTTTTGAACAATAATTGCGTTTAACTAAGATTGATTCACATAGAGATATGAAATTGATTTAGTTAAATAGACTCAATGAGAACTCGAGAGGGATAAATTGAATACAATAGAATAGTTCGTTCAAGCATTACATTATATTTATGAATCTTGATTTAAGAATTAAAGGTAATCAATAGATGAAATCATAAGCCCTAATATCTCTTCTATATTTGAAACCCTTATTCAAGGGCCTGTTTGGTAGGGATTCTCATTTTCTACAGTAAATCAATTTTCATTTTCAGCCACACATTCTTCAATAAAATAATATTTTCCATCACATCAATAATTTTTTCTTCTTTTTAAGCCTGTTTGGTCCAGATTCTCATTTTCTACAGTAAATCAATTCTCATTTTCAATCACACATTCTTCAATAAAATAATATTTTTCATCACATCAATACTTTTTCTTCTTTTTCAACCACACAATTCCCATCATATCACTATTTAAAATCAATTCTTCCCCCAAAAAATCTCTACCAAACAAGCTCCAAATTTTGTTGCATTTAGATACACTTTAGCTAATAGTAATTAGAACAAACAATCATAAAAATCATACTTGTTTTTATTTGTCAAATAGGAGTTGAAATAGTATACAAGGAATAAAATATAGTTCTCGTGGGAACGATAATCTAGACTCAAAGGTCCATTATATTACTTGTTACGATATTGCACATTTGCTATAGAAAAAACACAACAAGGCTTTGACGTCGTTGTTGAGACTATTTATATTTATATTTAGTTTATTTTATTTTTGACAGTTATTTGATTAATTTATTTTTTCTTATTTATAGATACAAAGTATTCATTGTACGCCCCGTTCTCAAGGCGATGATCATGAACCGTTTGATTCAAATATAGAATGTACCTATAGATGAAGACACAAAAAATTGAAACGAAAAATAAAAACATCATATGGCTAAAGATCAAAACATTCCTATATATACAATTGGACAAGGAGCCATTAGAATAACGATACTACAAAATCAAGAATGAACAGTGGATATAGATGAAGGAGACTTGTTAGTCTCAATGTTCTTGATGCTTAGCAACACTCTCCAATTGTACACTTAGCTCATGAAAACCCGAATACACATATCCGGATTCTTCAGAAATTGTTAGAATTTTCATGCTCCAGAAGTTAATGAAGATTCTATCAAGTTACATTTATTTCCTTATACATTTAGTGATGCTGATTTAGAGTCATTAGATGTTGAGTCTCATAGAAGCATTATTACGTGGGACAAACTGACTAGAAAGTTTTGCAACAATTTTTTCCCACCGGCAGAAGTGGCAAAAATTCGACTGGTAATTCAAACATCCCAGCAATAAGATAAAGAGAATTATCATAAAGCATGGAATAGATTTAAGGAGATGATGAGAAAGTGAAAATCATGGAACCAACGGAGGTAATCAGGTGCAGTACTTCTACACCGAACTTTTACCAGTACTTGATCCCCCTCCCTATAAAATCGACGTTGATTGTTTTTGCATGCCAATGCTTTGTCCTTTCTATACAGATGGATGAACTTCCATAGGCCTCTCTTCTGAATTCTTCCAATTCATGAAGTTGTAAGATTCTAGTTTCCCAACATTTTCTAAGTCCATATTCACTACTTCAATGCTCAGTATGTGTTTTTTGCTCAAACTCCACTAGTAAGCGGCACACTTGCCTAAATACCATCGGATGTGGTGACAATTCAATCGTTATCTTATAAGAGGAACGATAAGCCCATGAAGTATCGTTTAATTTTTTATACCAATCTTTTTGAGATGCATCCACCACGAGTTCCAAAAATCTTTTCAGTTGTTTGTTCGAAGTTTTAACATGCCCACTTATCTGAGGGTGATAAGGTATGGAAATTCGATGTTGTACCCTATATTTGTGCAGTACCGCCTTCAATAACCAATTGCATAAGTGAATCCCACTGTCACTTATCATGGCTCTAGGTAATCTATACCGGTTGAATATATGCTTCTTTATAAAACTCACCACCACCTTTGCA